CGTTGCCCTCGCTCTCCTCGACTAGACACCGCGACGAAGGCCGAACGGAGATGTAGATTAACTTCTTTTTCCGCGGCAGTCCTTGCGTCCGCGAGAAAGTCGCGCCGGTCCGAACGGGTTCGTTATTTCCTCGCGCACGCGAAAACGTTCTTTCCTTTTCTCCGAGCCCAGAAAATCTGGCGTACACGACCGGGACGCGTCGATTAAGAATCCATAACGAAGTGAAACCGCACCGCGACGCGACTCCGCGTCTGGACTCTGTTTTTTAGCACGCGGCGGAGACGAATGGTTCGCCGGGATTCTGATGCCGTCGGGCCGGCGAGAAAGTATTTTCGGTTTCGAAGCGACAATTACGGCAATGTCTCTCTAATCGACGCTTAGATTGTGTACAGAAATGGACAATTTGGGAAGAGGAGATACCTTGCGTTAAAACGCCTTGCTCGGTTTTGTAGTTGTTGACAATTTGTGACTATAAAAGTGCACCGCAAGGATCTAACAATCGTATCTCATCTTCCCAAATTGTCCATTTTTCTGCACAATTTCGGCGTCAATTAGGGAGACATTACTGTACAACGCTCTCGCTACACATTTCTGTTGGGTCTAATAATATCGATACTATTGTTATTATTATTATTATTTATTGTATGCAAGCAATAAAACATATTAATATTAACCAAAGGAACAAATTCAGAAGATCGACAGAATTCCTGAAAATATTATTCAAAACGACGATATTTATTTGCATTAATACAATGTAAAAACTTCCGCGGAAATTGATATTTAAAAGAACATTAGGTCGCGTAATGCGACGACATTACATGCGCGCCAACCGAATTTATTATTATTATTACTTGCCACGCCAATGTAATACATTGAATGTTATTTCCTCCTTTCTGTTTTATTATTTCCTTGTTTCTTTATTTCTTCATTCTTCGTGTATCATTTTGCACATTATCTTTTACTATGTGACGAAGGATCTTTCCCGTTAGCGTCAATAAATTTATACCATTATTATTATTATTATTATTATTATTTTTATCCAGCGATACGTTAAAAAATGGCGTAAAAAATTTTGGTAAATGTGATCGAGTAGAATCGCGGATAGATCTCGCGAGATTCAACGTATCTGAAGCACTTAACCCTTTGCACTCGAAGCTATATTTTAACCGTAAACCTAAAATAATCTTTCCGTCTTACAGTATTTCCATTTTATATGAATAAAGTGCACTTTATGCATACGAAATCGACTCTTGCGGTGACTCGTACAACACAGTTACGCTATTAACAATTTCTTAAATGTAAACATTGTTAACATAAAAATTATCTTGGAATATGCTATAACAAATGTGTTAATGGTGAGAGTCACCGCTCGAGTGCAAAGGGTTAAGCTCGATTCGACGCGGAAAATAGCGAAGGAAGTCTTTGGCGAGCGTCGGATGTGTTTGATCGGTGCGCTGCAAGCTGCAGTTCGCTGGAGACGTCGCAGCCATCCGCTCTCCCGTCCGCAGCTATAGGCCGTATTCACCGGCTCAATTGGTTTTGACGATTATAGCGACATGCTCGCCCCTCAGCAGCATTTGCGGCACGTGTCTCTCCAAGGTCTCCCTCTTTCCCTCGATCTTCGTCACGACCACTTTGGGCGCGGATTCATCGGCCGCTGTCGTCGCGCTCGGCCTACCTAATGGATTAGAAGCCGTTTAAAAAAAGTGTTTCGAGATTTTTCCCTCGGCGTTAAGCCGACCACTAGTTTCTTCTCTCCCTGGACACCTCTTCCGCCGACGGCGAGAGTCTCCCTTTCTCCCGTAAACGCGAGCTTTATAGATCTACCTGTCGGAAAATCGTTCTCGTTATTTCCGCCTCGACTCGACCCTCTCGTGAACTCTCGTCGAAAACATCGCTGCGTAATGTTTCGCGAAGAGAAACGAGTCTCGCGACGCGAAGGGAACGGATCAAAACGTTTTTTTTACGGTATAGTAGTCTCTTCCAATAGTTTGGTTTTAAGTTGTTTTTTTTCTTTTTAATGGAACAATTTTTGGAACGAACCGATATATAGATCATTTTTGGAAA